ACCTGGTTCTGAATTGACTAATTTATTTTCTATGGTTTCATTTTCTGGAATTCACAATTATATTTGGCAATTTTTTCAATGGTTGATGAAAAAAAAAGTCTGTGAGGTTTTCTTTAGTGGGTGTGTAAATGCAGCTAAAACTGTTGTATTGCTTTGAGAAGCTTTTAAGTAAAAAGCTTTGGGCAAAACAAATCTACAAGATGTAAATACATTTCAAATATGATGAAATGTCACTTGAAAACTAATCATAGACTGATTGGAATTCATTGAAATAAAATAATGAAAAATGTTCATGCTCATTTTCCAACTCATTAATATTTAAGTTGACTGATTGCCCTTGAAATTCATGCTAATGAATAAAATTCATGCTAATCAATGTTAACAGAAGATTTGAAAATGAAATGTGATTGTAAAACTTGCTTTTCATTTGCCTTGAGCATCCAAATATTTTTGGCCAAAAACATGGTAGTTGTCAGCTTCATCTCACCCTATTTACCCAATTTCACATCATGTGGCTTTTTTTTGTTGTTCTTTTGCATAAAACACGACCTGAAGAAGAAAGATTTTACTGATGACAATGAAACAAAGACATTGAAAGCTTTGAACAAAATACTCACTCAAGAATATCAAATGTCTTCAGAACTGAGAAAAAACATTGGGACAGTTGTATAAAGATGAGATTATTTTGAAGAAAGTTTGCATTTCAAGTTTTAAAATCTAATAAAACATTTTTTAAAATAATATTTATTCATATTCAAATTAATGTATTGAAGTTATTTCTTTTTCTTTAAATTTCACCAGCAATAATTAGAAATTATGAAATTTCTGTAATTCATAATTCATGCCCCACATTTATAAGATATTTTTTTATTTCATTCTTTATCATATTTTTATTTTGTTGTTATAATAATATAAATTCTTTAATTCTCCCATTATAAAATGAAATTAATGAAGGAATTTTTGACTAAAAATGAAAATAAAGAAACAGGAGGACACTTTCAAATAAAAGTAACAAATACAATATTTAATGTTATTATTTACTATTTTAAATTAAACATAATAAAACATTAAAATTAACTTTCCTGAGAAAGTCTTTGTAATATTTGTAAGAAGAAAGACTAGAGATAATTGAATGAACAAATTATTTCTTTAAATCAAGTAAAAATGGCATTCTTTAGTAAAAGAGCATACTGCCTTGTCTAGATCTTGAAATCTTTAATTTTGTTGTGTAAATAAGTTACATTACTCTATAAGAACCATGGGAAAAAGATTCAACATATGTTGGAAAAAGAAATACAGATTAAACCTTATCATTGATGTATTTGTTTTTATGAATAGAAATTTCATAGAGAAAAAGATTAAATTAGTTTTAAATGGTGAAATCTTAAATTAAGTTCCAAGTGATAAAGGCATTCCAAGTATAAAATATTCTTTGAATTTCAATAGCAGTAAACTACCACAAACCCAAATTGAAACTAAAATCCAGTGCTCCCAGTGGAATGAGGAGCTTTTGAAATAGGACTCCAGTTCTAACCCTTACTTTCATCTGGAGTATAGAACATGGCTTAATTTTTTTTAACAGTTATATTAAAACATATACTAACCAGAGTAATCCAGTCTTTCAGTCTTTAATTGTAAATAGTTTAGGCTCATGTATACAGCTTGGACAAGTTAGAAAAAGATCCTTTCTTAGAGGAATGAATCAGTAGTTCAATAAACAACTTAACTGAAACATTGATCTGTATAATTAATTCCAGTTAAGATCCAGTTGATATGGAAAATAGAATGACTTATCTATAGTGATACAATATTTTTTTTAAGAAACTGGTTCCTGAAAAACTACCATTAAAGTGAAAAACCTAATTTAAGTATACCAAAGATACCTTTTTATTCTCTCCCTACTGCAAGAGCGTAAAGGTATTCTATATGACCAACAATAGGATTCATTATAGAAAAAAACACAACAGACTTGCTTTCCTGAATATCATGGAGACCTGCACAAGATATGGTTTCAGGATATCAATATCTAGAAAGTCAATCCATCAAGGAATGTATTTGAATTTAGTTTCTGATTACCTCTTTTGTGTAAAGAAAGAAATAATTACCTTCATTATGAAATTATGAGACTTCTTCCTAATGAATAATTATCCTGACATCAGTAATTGTAAATAGTACAGAAAATCTACTCTATATAAGAGGTGTAGTTGAAAAATTTAAAGAATTTGTGTCCAATACACCATCAAGCTGATATTTTGACAGCAAACCTACTTGAGATATCTATGGTAGAGATTATCGATCAACCTGTACAAATAAAACTCAGATAACATTGGAAAGACATAATACAAGGTGATATCACAAAGTCACCCATGGCAGAAAATATTTAGAAATATTTTTTTAAAATGGCCATCAGTCTCTTTAGAATGAAATAAAGAGATAAGGGGAGTATATATATGGTGAAGAAAACTGTCTTAAACAAAGTCATTATAAAGTTGAAATTCATGTTGATAGTTATGATTAAGAAAGAAAGAAAGCAAGATGAAAAAATACAAGGATACTAAGAAAATGAACACATGCTGATCTACATTTGAAGGATGCATTAGATATATCAAAGACCTTTGACAAGGTGTGACATAGAGGGAAGAGTCTTTTCAATTATCAAGTTCTTCCTAATGGGTAGGTCCCTGAAGGTAATTGTTAATAGTCAATTCTCCAAAGCCCATCATCACCAAGCAGACTCTAAATTGTTGTCTATTGTGATTAACAGATGTTCCTTCAGGGAGGCTTCATGCCTTGACTGACTATTGACTGACTCACCTAAGGCCTCAAGGCCTTATATATGCAATTCATTTCTAAGGATGCTGGAAAAATGGTTGGTTCTCTGTACCACTCACATAAGTAAATACTCCTACTATATTCTACCTTTACAAGAGCCAGATCAAACTGAAAATGGAGTACTGTTACTATATATGAGCAGGAGGTGTCCAGTCTTCACTTTCACATTTCTATCAAGACCAAAAGCAACTACACAGGCTTTTTCCAGAATAGCAAGTCTCTTGATACTATTTCTATTTCCATGGAAAGTGTTCAGACAAACTACATTCCTTAGTTCCACCAGTTCTAAGCTTCACAGCAAAGACCCGCTATGCCACACACATTGTAGCAAAGCACCCTCATTCTCTTTGTTTCCATTGGTGAGATCTAAGTTCCACTTGAACAGCTTGTTCCCATGAATAGCTACTATGTGGAAGCAACTCCCAAAAGGATGCTTCCCCAATCATTAAGCTCTTAAGCTGTTCATGTCTAGGGTTAACCACTATCTTCCTCATATATCCTCATACTGTACTTCTTACTCTGTAATCCTCTACCTCAAGTGGTTCTTGGGCCTTGTATACAGAAACATTATTGCAGAAAAAAATGTAATCTATTTTTTTCTAGTCTAACTCAGAAAATATTAATACTGTTGCAGAAATCTTTGAACTGATTCTGAGAATGAGAATTATGTTGTCAATTTTCTTCCAATTGGAAGAAAGTTGTCAAGGCTGAAGAACACATTAGCCAACTGAAAAGCATGCTAGCCAAAACATTCTGTTTTAAGAAAGAGAAAATTCATCACTGAATTTCATACAAAAGTTAGTCAACAATCAAAAGTTTTTCATTGGGATAAAATAAGAAATTGATTTTATTCCCTTACTTGAAAAGATTAAAAAAATTAAGATTTTGATTATAAAATAAAATAATATAATATGTATATAATTTGTCTATCAGCATTTAACTATTCAAAATCAAATTAAATTAGAAAATTTTGAATGATTAAAGGATAGAAATATGATGCTTTCTATTTACAAAATATTTTTGTAATACAATTATAAAGTAAAAAAATATTTTATAAAGTAAAAATATTTTATAAAGTAAAAAAAATATTTTATAAAGTAAAAAAATATTTTATAAAGTAAAAAATATTTTATAAAGTAAAAATATTTCATAAAGTAAAAAATATTTTATAAAGTAAAAAATATTTTATAAAGTAAAAAAATTATTTTATAAAGTAAAAATTATTTTATAAAGTAAAAATTATTTCATAAAGTAAAAAATTATATACAAACAAAAGATAACAATTTAATAATTTTCCAATGTTCCATATAACTATATAACATTGAAACATTTTAAACTATCTCCTTTAACAGAAATTTTGTATTTAGTTAAAAGCAGGGACAGATTTTTTTTTGAGAATTCTATAAAAAATTTACTACGCCTCTAGTGTACAAATTAACAATCTTCGTTTGACCAAACTTCATGAGAAAAACATATGAAACTTCTTCATTCAAATATGGAAACGTTTGTTTATTGTTCTTTAAAGAAAAAAAAAGATTTCTGTTAAATCACTTTGCACACATTTTAAAATATTTAGGAATTTGTTCATATATTTTTTATTTTATAATTCCATATGATAAATAAACGTATTCAAAGGAACTGAATGAGCATCTTTTATATGTCATGTTCTTTCAGAATATAAGCAATCATGGCTCTTCACAACTTCTTCTGTTACTTTAAGTAACTTTTTAACTCTTTGTCCCTGTTCTACCATCTATTCACACAAATTTCTTAAGTAACTTATTGTTCCTCCTTACTTCTCTTGCCTTCAATATGTCTTCTCAATGTCAGATGATCCAGGGCCTCAAAATTTACTTTGCTGAAGATCATAAAACCATGAAGCAAGAAATGAATTATCTAAAATAAAATTTGTCAATTTTCCAATATTTACATCTATAACTAATGAGAACAAATCAAGGATTTTACAACAATTATGAACCTAAATGAATGGCTACAATCAGTAAACTGAGTAATTTACTATTGTTTAATAAATTTCAATATCATTTTCAAAGTAATTAAAAATGAGGAGCATGTCTACTGAATTAAATCAAATTCAAATTTTATGTGAACTTCACTTTGATTTTAAAAATTGATGACAGAATCCTCCAAAATTTTTTCTCTTCTTGCAGATTATGTTATGTTGCTGGACGTGAAGGACATTTCCCCCAAGTCTTTTCACACCTTCATTACCAACGAATGACTCCAGTACCATCTGTAGTATTTACGGTATATTCATAATTATATATTATACATCAGTTCAACATTAATTTTATTTGCTTTTATTGTACATTTTAGAAACTTTTAAACAGAGAAGATCAAATGGAGTCGGTGTTTTTTTCTTTTAGTTTTATTTGTTTTACTGACAATTAGTAACTACTGAGATTCCATGGAGCAAAAAATATGACATTCTCAGAATGTTGAAAAATTGTTTCTTTCATTATAGATAGCTGTAGTATACTAGCATCTATCTAGATACAAGGGATGAGGAATGGGTAAAAATATTTGATCTCAGCAAATATTACAAGTAGAAATGTAGAGAATATAAAAATAACAATCAATATTGAACCAATGCATTAGCTTTCATTTTCATTTCAGTCTATGTATGTTTCACACCAGATCACTCTCCTTTTATGTAGGTCAGCCAGAAGACTTACACAGCAATATGGATGTCAGCATCCAGAAAGCTAATGTGCTGAAGCAATGAATGTAGTGTGAAATGCAATTTCCTCACAGGTTTAATGAGCCACATGAAATGTTATCAGCAACAAGATATTCAAATATAAACATGTTCTCAATGTGGATTGAGTTTATGAAGTGGTCGTGTTCAGTCATGAGTTGACTTACACCATGTATATATGTATTTGATTGAAGATTTTGAAAAGTTTCCATTTCATTTTCCTCATTAACTTACAGGTGTTTTTACTGATGGTCCCATATTATAGATGTGTTTTGTGATATTATTTCTCCAAGTACTTTCAACCACTTTGCCCCTTTCCAGGGTTTAAAGTTGTTTTAGTGTTAAATTGTGAATATGAAGTTTTCATCATGTCATATATTATGTTCTCATATTTTAAGTTTGAATTTTTATCATCAGATGTTTAAATAGTTTCATGTTAATTCTATGTTGTTTTTTGTTAAAAGTTATTTAAAATATTGTTTCCTATGTTGAATGGTATCTTGTTTATTGTTGCTGGTTTTTTAGAATTATTGCTGTTAGTATTGTAATATTTTTTCTGCGGTTAATGTTGTATAGTATTTTTGTATTTTTTATAAGTATCTTTCAGTGTCAGTTATAATATTTTATTTTTGTGTTGATTAGTAATATGAGTTTATATGAATAGATAAGTACTATAGAATATCTATCATAGAATATGTGACATGTTTGTTGACATGAGAAGATTGCAAATGTATAGAGTATTTTTTTAATAGTATATTAATTAGCTTGAAAATTCATATTCATTTTATTCAAATTCGATTTTTTTATATATTTAGGCATATATGTCTATTTTTATCAGTAGGTGACATATATCTATATATCTATATCTATATATTGTGTTTTTCATAACTTTTTCATTTTGTTTATAGTTATGCATTTAATTACAATAAAATAAGTAAATTCTTTTTGTCATCATTTAATTGTATTGCTACTGTTATATAGTTTTGTAGTTTAATTTTAATTTATCAGTCAATTATATAAATCAGAAATTCATTGTTAATTAGTGTTTGTTTTATGTTGGTGAATTCTTTGTAGATTCTATAAGTGTGAAAAGTAAATTAGGTGAGCCCTATTACTTTTTTTCAATGAGCGCAATTATTATTAAAGACATGAATTTGAATTTACTATCTTTTACTATAGAGAGGTATTAAAATTATTGTTGTCATAACCAATTCAAGCCTCCAGGAGTGGAATTCTATTAGGAATATTTAGTGCATAATTAAACTGTAGGATAGAGTTATTTTCAAAAGAATTTTGAGTTTTTTAATTTTTAGCTACTAGATATGTTATCTGCATAGCTGACATATATCAGTTTTATTTAAATTTTCAGATGACTGACCTAGATGTGACCCCATAGCTATGTTGTCAGTTTAAGTATATATATTACCTAAATGATTATAGAAGATAATGATCATGATGCATACTGAGAAAAGTTTCCAAAGATTATCAGGCAATAAAGGAAAGTATGATTACATACATCTTAAAATATATTATTTCAACAATTTCATTTATGGAGATGGTAAAAGGACTATCAACATCCAAAACATTGTGAGTATAACAATCAAGATTAGTATACAAGTCAGGCATATAATAAAACACCATTGGAATTTATTGAAATCCATTGGTAAAGTTTATGCTTCATTTCTTTTGTAGGTATATGTGTATGATGTAGTTTTTTGGATATTTCATAGACTAAATGAGATTACTGGTTTTATGTGTTTTACTTTTCTGCACACAAACCAATATATATATATATATATATATATATATATATATATATATATATATATATTATGTCATTCACAAACAGTACAGGTTTTCTGTATCACAGCACCTTCTATTTCTATTTTCATTTGACAGAATGAGCTAGCTAAATCTAGTGTATTGTTTTTACAAATGTAAACAAATACCAATCAGCCATAGGGCTCAATTCATTTTACTGAAGAGCTTTGCATTAGAGCAGGTGGCTAATTAGCTTGTCATTCAACAGTGCTCAATTGAAATATATTTTCAAGAGCTAAATTATGTCATTCAGTGACAGTACTGTTTCACTGTATCACGGCTCCTCAGTTCGACTAGACATCCAAATACCACAAGCTAGGATTGAAACCCAACTGACTCGTTGTCAGTCAGAGTTTCAACCACTGAGCTATCTTTATTCAACAGAATGAGCTTGCTAAATCTAGCATATTGTTTTTACGAATGTAAACAAATGTCAATCAGCTATAGGGCTTTTTGTTTGAATAATCTAGACATAGTATGTCTATTAATTTGAAGATGTTCTTGGATGAGATTGAAAGTACTTAGGAAAATAAAAGAAATAACCAAAACTGCAGCATCTTTCTTACTCAGTTTTGTAACAGCACTAAGAAATTGATCCATGAATTTGAGAGGATTAAAATAAAAATAAACAGACATAATATTTCTAGATTATTCAATCATATATATATATATATATCCAGGTTAATAATACCCAGCAATTTTTCAGTTTCACTGAACCTATTTCTGCATTGTTTGCATTAATAAAGTTCTTTATATTTTTCAAAGTGTTCTGTAGTGTTATATTGTGATTCCTGATTTTGTTTTTGTTTTCTAATTAGAAATTTTGAATTGTAGTCTTTTTTCCTTAAAACAATGTAGATGAATTTTTATGACCTTTTCTGGTGTTAATATCTTTATTGTTGCAAATCTCTTTTACTTTTATCACATTTTTGGGGTAGTAATATCTTTATCTGATATACTATAAAAATTAAAAATATCGCATCTTGTTGCTCCCAATAATACAAACTTCCCTAAAATCTAGTTTTGATAAAGTCACAGTGGTTTTATACCCATTAGATGAAATCTACAATACTATCAGGTCATCCCATAAGTTCTGTTCGAATTTTACCTTTTTGTTAAAATGAACAAAATTTAAAGAGTATTTTATAATGTCTAATGGAGCTGAACATTATTTTTATGTTTAGATGCATTTGAACTGATCAAATTTTATTTCAGCGAACAATAAAATTAAATTTTGTTTGATTAAAACCCTGCTAACATGGAAGTACCCAAGAATCATTTGAGGCACATGATGCTTTATGAGTTCAAGAAAGGAAACTCAGCAGCCGAAGCGGCTAGAAACATTCACTCAGTTTATGGAGAGGAATGTGTGAATGAAAGAACTTGCAGAAGATGGTTTGCAAAATTCAGAGGTGGAGATTTGACCCTTGAAAATGAAGAACAAACTAGATTTCCAGTTGAGTTTGATGAAAAGCTTCTTGAAGCAGCCCTTGAAGAAAATCCTGCTTTATCAGTTGAGGAATTGGCAATGGTTCTCAGTTCAAACCATACAACTGTTCATCGTCATCTTCAACAACTTGGAAAAGTTCCTAAACTTGGAAAATGGGTGCCTCATGAATTGTCAGAAAACAACCTCAAATCCCAAGTTGACATCTGCTCTTCTCTCCATTCTCGCCAACTTGTTTCACCTTTTTTGGATAGACTTGTGACTGGCAATGAAAAATGGATCTTTTATCAAAATGTTAAGCATCGTAGACAGTGGCTTGGTAAAAGGGAAGGACCCCAGCCACAGCTGAGAAGGGAACTTCATGGGAAAAAGGTTCTTCTTTCAATCTGGTGGGATTGCCAAGGAATAATCCACTTTGAATTCTTACCACCTAATGCAACAATTAATGCTCAAATATACTGTCAGCAATTAGAGCGTTTGAACCAAGTTTTGAAGAAAAAAAGACCTGCTCTAGTGAATTGAAAAGAGGTGATGTTTCATCAGGACAATGCATGACCCCACACAGCAAGAATCACATCACAAAAGATCGAAGAACTTGATTGGGAGAAGATTCCTCATCCACCTTATTCTCCCGATCTTGCTCCTTCAGACTACCATTTGTTTCATAGCTTAGAGAATCATTTGGAAGAAACAGCTTTTGTAACACAGGAAGAGGTTAAAACTGACATTTGTGAGTTCTTCAAATCAAAGCCAAAAGAATTTTACAGTAATGGAATTAGTAAGCTTGTTAATAGATGGAAGGAAGTTATAGATAATCAGGGAAAATACATTGTTGATTGAATCTGTAATTAAATGTAACATTTGGTCACTTGTTTTCTTTATTCAAAATTCGGACAGAACTTATGGGATGACCTGATACTAAATAAATATATATTCTATACATTGATCATACACCCCTAACCTTATGTTAATTAACATGCCACTTATTTAATAATAGTTACATAGAATCTGTATTACTTACCAACACAAGAATATAAAAATATAACCAATCTAATAGAGATACTTGTAAAAAACACACAAATACTATATAATATTAGCTGCAAAAGATTACAATACTAGAAGGAATAATTATGAAAACAATCAGCCTACAATAAACAAAATATCATTCAACATAGAAACCAGTATTTTAAATATCTTTTAACAAAAAGAAGCATAATTTTTGTTTAAATATCTTAAAAGAAAACAATATAGAATTAGTACGTTGTGAAACTATTCAAATATTGAATGATAGAAATTCAAACCTAAATATGACATCATGACTCATAATATAATTAAAAAAAAAATCAAATTCAATATATAATGCTAAAATTATAAAAATGAGATGCCAGAGTAAACACCTACCACTATTGAAACACATTTACTCACTGGAGATGATTAATATAAGTACTTGGAGAAATATATTAAGAAATACATCTTAAAGCTAAAAAAACACAAAAAAACACTAAAAAAATTTCAAACACAGTATTTCCATGGTCTTCAATCAAATATACAGAAAAGAATATTTATTGCTAAAATTCACTATATATCTAAATATACAGCCACTTCTTACTTAATGATATGTTTCTTTAATGACCCCCCCACCTGATATATTACCACTATAAAATCACTAAATTAAAAATTCTAAAAACCCAACAAGTCAATTTTGTACATTGTCTTAAAATTTGATTGAGATTATTTTCTTTCTTCAAAATGAATCAAAATAAAATGAATAATGTGAAAAATAGATAGAAATTTACTTGTACTGCATTTACAGTATGCGAAGCAAAGTAATGAATATAGAACTGATTTTTGTCTGTTTATTACATTTACTCTTCAGCACACTACTGTATTGTATGAACATTTAAAAATAAATGCTACAAATGGTGAAATAGTGACATTATTTTTATCTTAAATACATCATGATTTTGAAATAGTAGTCATTTACAGCTTTTCATTTAATGAACAACTCATTTAACAACTAGGTCATTGGAATAGAATCCACTCATTCAATGAGGAGGGAATGTGTGTGTGTGTGTGTGTGTGTGTGTGTGTGTGTGTGTGTGTGTGTGTGTGTGTGTGTGTGTGTGTGCTGATATAATAGGAAAGAACTGTTAGATTGATGATACAAACTTCTTTAGTATTTTTGTTTTTATTTTTAAAAACAGTGCTCGATACAGAAGTAGAACCTAGATTATAATTATTTTTTTAAAAATAGGATTCCATCGCGACACAGAAATTACTGTTTTGAAACTGGTCAGCAGTATTCAGGTTTAATTTCAATATTAAACCTTAACTTCTGGGTGACAGTCTCATCCTCAGGCTATGTTTGGAATAACTATGCTACCGAATGTTTTACTCATTTATAGTTTTGAAATGAGGGGTATGTTCTAGGGTTTGTTTTTCATTATCAAGGAGTCACTGCTTTGATTGAGGTGGGGGTGTTTGTTATATGCCAAGTTTTGGGAGTTGTGTAAGGTTGGGTTGTGGTTTTTTGTCTGGCTACAATGGTAACTCCCTGCTAAAACTCTAACTGATTGATGTTGTAGTTCTGGTAGTTTTTGGTGTTTATTTTTTTAATTTTTTGTTGATGATTTCTTAAATAAAATCAAAGAAATGAGATAACAGTTTTTTGCAGACATCACCAAATATTCGCCTTAAATAATTAGCATTTTATAAATGTATGAAAAAAAAAATAATAATAATAATAATAAAAATTTCCAAATCTATTAACAAGTACAATTAAAACAATAAGTTTAAAAACACAGCCCAATGATAATCTTAAAGCCCCTTTAAGAAATCATCAAAAACAAAAAAAATCAAATCAGTGACTCCTTGATAATGAAAAACAAACCCTAGAACATACCCCTCATTTCAAAACTATAAATGAATAAAACATTCCGTAGCATAGTTATTCCAAACATAGCCTGAGACTGCCACCCAGAAGTTAAGGTTTAATATTGAAATTAAACCTGAATACTGCTAACCAGTTTCAAAACATGGTAATTTCTGTTACAATGGAATCATATTTTTTTAAAATAATTATATATATATATATATATATATATATATATATATATATATATATATATATATATATATATATATATATATATATATCTTTTTATTCAAGCATGTTCATTTGAATAATCTAGACATACCATGTCTATTTATTTGAAGATGTTTTTGAATGAAATTGAAAGTACTTAGGAAAATAAAAGAAATAACCAAAACTGTGGCATCTTTCTTACTCTGTTTTGTAACAGCACTAAAAAATTGATCCATGAATTTGAGAGGATTAGAGTGAAAGTGTTTATGCTAGTTGTTTTTTTTTATATAGGGAGATATTATTATTATTAATTAAGAAAAGGGATTTCATTATTAATGTTAAGTTCATATGTGAAGTTAACAATAGTTTTTTCAAAGATTTCTTGTAGTTCATGTATTTCATCTATGTTTTTAACTAAGATAAGAATATCATCTACATATTTTTAATCTACCTAAGATATGTATATGATATTCTTATAAACATTTGCAATCTAAACTATAAAAGTGAATGCCCTGATAAAAATTAACCTAAAAGAATTAGATTTTCCAGATGTTACCTTAAACCTAAAAAAAGATGCATATCAACCATACAGAAAACCTAATGACAAACCACTGTATATACATACATGTTCCACCCACCCAACATCAATAATCAAGTAGATCCCACAATCAATTCAAAGCCAAGAAAGATTAAACAGATGTAAAAGATAGTGAATTTTCAGCATCACTCACATAGATGCAGCACAATAAAAGCCAACAGGAAAAGAAACATCATATGGTTCAACCCAACATACAACAAAAATGTAGGCAAAATATTCATTAAACTCATACACAAACACTCCCCACCCATCAAGCAGTCAGTATTAAAAAAAAACAGTAAAAAATCAGCTACAGTTGCACTGAAAACACGACACAAATAATAAAGAAGCATAACAGGAAAACAACCAACAAAACAAAAAAAACCTGGAAAACAAAGAAACTACACACACAAGACATCTTTTACAAATAGTAAATATGTGAACACCATAATGCTTTCCAAACATATCCGGGAGATTAAAAACAAAAACCCAAAAATATCATGGAAAATAAAGAAAGCAGCATCAGCATACAACAATAAATCCCAAAACTGTAAATCCTGTCGGGAGAAGAAAATAGCTATAATTACCTTCCCAGACTAGCACAAACTACTAAATAAACAATCAGATGTCATTTCAAAATACAAACCTGAAAAAAATTTTTACTACATTACTTAAAAATCAAAACCTAAAAATAAACAAAAATAAATAAATAAAATAAAATAAACAAAAATAAGTAAAATAAATTAATCCAAACCAATAAATAAGTAAATAAATCAAGTAAACAATAAACAAATTAACAAACCACAAACATACATATAAACACAAGTAAATGTAATAATAACAACAAAAATAAAATAATCAGTAATAAATAAAAAAATTAACAAATAACACTATAAATATCCAAAAACTGCATCCAAATTATTTTCACTCAATAACCCTTAGAATTATTCAAAACATAACCCATACCACCCAACAAAATAACTGTTAAAACACTACAATAAACTACCCACAATGCATCACTGACCTGTATAATCAAGGAAAAACACAATGCATAATTGTGTTTAAGAATAAAGCAAACTTTTGCCTCTGGGCATTTATGTCAATGTCCACTTTCATATATATATATATATATATATATATATATATATATATATATATATATGTAGGATTAGCTGATTGATGTTACCTTCAGCATCCCAACTCTAGAGTTTTGTAGACAGACCTGTCCGTCCACTCTTCAGTGGGTATCAGTAATTTGCTGTTTATATTTTTTCCATTTATGCATATTTAATACTGGTGTCATATATATATATATATATATATATATATATATATATATATATATATATATTGGTAATGAAAAAGTATTTGCTGTATTCATTCTGTAATAATGTCTTGTATTTGAATTAATATTTGCTTTTGTTTGTAGGCAATAATGGGGATCATCGTTATCATACCTGGAAAAATTTCCACCTTAATTGATTTTTATAGTTTCTCAGCTTGGACTGTTTATGGCCTTGGAGCATTTACAGTGATTTATTTGCGTATTACACGTCCAGACCTTAAAAGGCCTTACAAGGTAAATTTTCATCATGTTTTCTTATGAGACCATTCATAATTTCAAGCAGAATATTTATGCATTATCAAAAATGAAATAATAAACTGATTATAATGTATAATATTATAATCCTTTTTCATCCAATTTATTTTCATAATTCATTAACACTATAATAATGTTTTATTTATTGTATAATGTTTGAATCTTCTATACTATATTAGTTTAAAAATGTTTTTTATTTTTTTATATAAAACAAAAGCAAAATTAACAGAAATCCAAAATTCAATACCTTATGTTTACAATACCTTATGCATATATACAGTATTGGCCAGAATGGATGAATCATTACTGTTCTTCTTTGACAATTTAGGCTTTTGGCAGTCTTATAAGACTTTATATTGGCACAGAATAACCTCCTGTAAATTAGCGTTTGGCTGGGTAGGTGACTGTCTTTTGGTAAACCAGCTTAAATGATTTTCTGGGAGACTTCTTTGCATCCAAAATTATTGAGGCATACCAGACATAGTCTTATCACTATATTTCTTATCACTAAATCATAACTCTAATCACAGCTACATCCTATGTGAATGAGAACACGCAATAAAAATGAATGCTCATTGATTGTAAAAACAATGTGTCATCCAATTTGACCAATCAAAATGAGTCTATCACATGCAAAATGAATGAACACTGCACAATGGAAAATTACAGGAAAAAACCATGATTGATCCATTCTGGCCAATACCATATATATAAAATTTTAAGTTTTACATCATTTTAAATATTTCTTGTCTATCATTAGCAGAATTCATATTTTAACAAACAAAAAGCTAAATGAATATTTATCGACATGTATAAAGTTTTTTATATTAAAATTCATGTTTTTCTTTATTGCATAATTAAATTCTTTTACTATGACAATAATATTCTTTTGAATTAAGTTTGTGTTCATTTAATATCTCATTATAAATATCTGCAGTGGAATGAAATTTTACATTAAGAGAAACATTTTCTTCATTCATTTATTAAATCATGTTTATGAAAAACTAAATATCGAGGTCTAATTATTCAGTAAAATCATTTTTAATTGCATAGTTAATTGAAATACATTACAAAATTTTAGGTATTTTTCTGCTAAAATGTATATGATAAACAACCAGCATGAACATTCATTCAATCTGTTTCTTGATTGTAATGAAACTGAATGTTGATTTCTTTAAATTAATCCTATATGACTTCAATAAAGGAAAGATATAATTTGTTCTTTTTCCTTATTTTCAGGTCCCAGTTTTTGTTCCTGGCTTTGTTTTCATTATGTCTGTCTATTTGGTCTTGGCTCCTGTCATTCAGGATCCCAAAATGGAATTTTTTTTTGCATTTTTATTCATTTGCAGTGGATTACTTTTCTATTTCCCTTTTGTTTATATGAAACTGATGCCACCTGGAATAGGTAATCAGCTTTTTTGGTTTTATTGTATAAGATTTAATGAAATTATTCATTAACACTATTTAATAATGTTTATAGTGAAAGGTTTTCAATACTTACATTAAGAAAATTACTTCTTCTATTCATAATTCTTAACAAGTTTAGAAAAGCATCAATTCAATTTCAAGGATGAGTTTTAAATTTTTCAAAGCTTCCAAATTATTGCATCATTATTTAGGAAAAAATATTTTTTAGTTGGAAATAAAATTTTATTAGCAAGTTTACAAGTTGATTTTATATGCAATGTATTTTATGCACACACACACACACACACACACACACACACACACACAGAAAGAGAGAGAGAGAAAAAAAAATTCTGGTAAATTCAATGTGCCATTTGAAGTCTCACTGTATTTTAGTATTGATGTAAATTGTTTTGGAAAAAGTTACCTTAATTCTTCTCTCATGACAAATAAAATAATGATAAAATCTAATTATTGCCTCATTGATTGGATAAAAAATTATCATAAATGAAAAAATATAAATAAAAACCTTTAATAAGGAAAAATGTTTTTGTCAAATTTGTTTTTAATGTAGAAAAAGAATTGAAAATATCTGAATTGTTTCTGTGCTGAAATGAAAAAGACAACAATTTTCTTCTCTTGATACTAGTTTCTTTTGTAGTTTCACTAGGAAAGAAATTAGTATCAAGATAAGGGAAACAATTAGAGGACCAACTATCAAACACTTCTGTTACATTTGTGGCATTGGGAGTCAAAAGAAAGTGATCAGTTAATAAGTTAAAGAAACTCCACAAACACCTGATTGGCTAGACAAAATAACTGAACTGGATAAAAGTAGAGATGGACACTAATCAAAATCATTTGTTGCTGAGGAGATTTGAAAGCTAAAATGCTTCCCAAAAGTACTGAGTCATCTAGAATGTCAGCAAGTATGATTACCTGCAAACTAATTTTAGACCTTTAATCAGTAGCAAAATAACCTGAAAGCATTTGTCCTTAATAAATAGATATATCAACCTAAAGAAAAAGGAGAGAACAAAAATTTGTCTCCTTTTATTTTCTTAGTCTTTTTATTTGTCAACCATTTTTCTAACATTTTCTGTTTTATTAAAGTGCCTTGTGGCTTATGAGTCTTTCGGCTCTTTAAGGATTCTTGATTGATTCAATCATTTGTTGGGACTCAAGATCTCCCCCAGACCTCAAATAGAACTCATATATCTGATCTATTGCTAAAGATGCTGAGACAAATGGTTGCTTCATTATACTGCACCAGTAAGTATCTGACTCCTGCTGCTATACTCTGTTTATGCACAGTCCTCACCAGACTGTCTAGAGTTCAAAAACATCTTTGCAGTTTGCGAGCAATGAGTTATTTTCCATCCCACAACACCTTTCCCACAGATGAAATGTCATAAGCCTCTCACTACTCTATCACTATTTCCATGGCATGTGTACATGACAAGCTACAGGCCTTAGTCCCACCAATTTTACAATTGGGACCCACCATACCATGTAGACACAAGTGTGAATCATCCCCATTCCCTTTGTATTCTATTAGTAAGAAGTAAGTTACACTCAAACAGCTTCTTCCAAAGAACTGCCGCTTTGTGGAACAGACTCCTGGCAGGTTATTTTCCCAAGCACTACAATCTTGACCTCTTCAAGTCTAAGATTAACTGTTATCCTTCCTGCATAACTCCATGAACTTACTTCACTTCTTGCCTTTTCTTTTTGCTCATGCAAACCACACAGTAACCCTCTACCTTGAGTGGATCTTGAGCTTTGTATTGGCTGAACATTAGTGTAAAAAAACAAAAAAATATTTTGCCAACAGAATTTTTGAAAAGTTTTTTCCCAGTGATTTATTCTAGAAAAAAAAGTGAAATAAAGAAGAGATATCAAAAGCCTAATATCTAAACAGCTTGTTTCTTGCATTTTGAATTGAGGATAAAGTGTAACTGTTATTTGTAGGATTCATTTTGTGAAAATTGCCTGTCTGGTTACAATTGAAAATTTTTATTTTATTTTACAAATTTCTTAAAGAACTAATTTTTCTTTTCTTTTCAGAAAAGCTACAGATATTCTTACAGAAGCTGTTTGTTGTTTGCCCAACAGCAGCCAGCGTGCCAGTCGATGAAGATGATTCAGAGAAAGAAAAATCAGCAAAAATGCTGTAAATCAAGAGACAAAAACTATTACTTGTTCGTTTACATATTTTTCTTTTGTTTCAATTGTCAGGTTCAGACCAAAATCACTTTGAAAATAACTACAGCATTTACAAAATCGTTTCAAATCATTTATGCTCATTCATTTACAAAATTGTTTCAAATGCACTTATGCATATTTATCTTATGTTACCTAAGAAATAACATTTAGTATTGAAGCATAAAACAAATTTTAAAAGTTATTTTTATTTACAACTTTAAGTCCTCAACTGTAGATGAAGATTGAAATTAAGACAAAGCTTAAACAGTGTACTTCTTAAATGATCACGTTTTCCAAATTAATGTCAATCTTAGTAAACAATAAAATTAATGTTGAACTATATTTTCTAAATAGAATACATGGAAATATGACTTTAAAATTAAGATACATAAATATGCATACTTTATGTGATGATTAATTGCTGAAATTTGGTTTTGATTTATTACAGATATTGAAATCAAATTTATAACTCCCTCATTCTGCTTTCCCAATGCTAATGGTATGTTAAAATAAACAGAAGAAGCAGCTATGCAATAGGATTCTTATTTGATCATCCAAATATTTTTGCAAACTCAATTGTTAGTCTTCCATTTTGACTACTTCATTGAAATCATAATTATCTGGTCAATTGCAAAATATGTAAAAATTCTAAAACATCCAAAGGACAATTTGTTGAAAATGTGACAAAATATTTAGAATAAAGCTTTTTAAAAATTCTTAAATTATTTGAAGCCAAAATTTAGATATTAACATAAAATCAAATGTTATTATTGTAATTATTTCACAGTTGAATTCTGATTCGAAATCTGAATGTTATTTTAAATAGATAAATATATACATGCATGCATATATATATATGTGTGTGTGTGTGTGTGTGTGTGTGTGTGTGTGTGTGTGTGTGTGTGTGTGTATATATATATATGTATGTATTTGTGTGTGTGAGTTTGCATGTTTATATAAATTGAAGAGTTAACAAATGAATGATTTAAACACCAATAAGGAATTTTCTATATTAGAATTGATAAAATCTCTACAATAATATCAATGTCATTATTTTAAACATTTATTTTCCTTTTTTATTTTTGTTGTTTTTAATGTTTTCACAGATTGCTCAATTTTGCTGCTAGCTTAGTTCAGTAATATTTTTCTAGAATTTAACAAAATGTTATTTGGTCAGTTGTTTCCAAAAATCTTGTCATCTGGTTTCTCTTATCCATTGTTTTGCAAATATACAGTAATGTGACAATTGTTAATGTTTTTATATAAATAAATATATTTTTAGATAAATACTTCTGCTATTTTGATTGATATCATTGTTATTAAACTACAGTAATACAACCTATTAATTGCAGTTCAATTTATTGTTGATTCCAATTAAAATTTATATTTCTTTACATATGGATATTTATAATACTAACTGGTTCAATATTTATGAAATGATGCATTTAGACAATGTTTGTGATAAATATCATCTCCAAAATATAGCTAGTAAACTTTTGTACCTTTTTTCCTTGTGTGCACACACCACACACCCACACATGCGCGCGTGCACTTGCTTCTTTGTATTAATAGCAGAGCATTAAATGGGGACAAATACAACTAAGTACCAATTTCAACCGAAGGTACTTAATAAATTATGGTCTCTTCTAATCAGTCAACTAAAACACATAATGTTTTCTAATTGACCAAATAGTGTACAAAGAAATGTTGACATTTCTGTTTTACTCAGCCATGTGTCATTCTAAATAAGTAAACATCTCACCTGCTGAAAATGATTAGAGAAGTTGATGTGCTAAAATGATACAAGTTTGCATTAGTCCCAAGAAAATCTGGGATATAAATTCTTATTGTATATATGTATATTTTTGTATGTAAAAATGAATGTTAACAGATAGACTATACACATATGATAGTGATACTTTTTGAAATTATACAAAAGAAAAGTTGCATGAAAAGAAAATGTATAATTTTAAATAATTTTAAAAATTCCTAAACATTATGATATTAGCAAGATGTTGATTATAAGCAAATTGTAGGAATGAGAGTGAAATAGACTTAAAATTAATTTGCGAAAATCTGTGATCATAATTATATGTATATAATAATGGCCTATTTTTAAAATTTCCCCATTATCATTTACATGTAATATGAAGGGATTCTATTTTCTAATGTGTAAAAAGTAATACGAGTGCAATGATTTGTTAATTTATTTTTGTATTTGATGTGTACATTGTTTTACAGAACAATTTCTTGATATTAAAGCAGTCAAGATGACAAAATATCAATTGGTCATTTTTAGACTCATCAGTTTTCTATATTGTACAAAGATTCAAAGAAATTAAAGTTATTTGATAACAATTCCCTTTTTTTATATAAATTTGTTTAAAATATTGTACGCTTATATTAGATGTTATTAAATTATCCAGAAAACAGTATTTTTTAGACAAAACTTTCATTAGAATTCTCCATCTAATCAGATGAGTGCAGATAACTAAAAATCATTTTTCTACAGTTAGTGATAATTTACATTAAAAGTTTATCAAATTTATTTAACCTCTTTAATTAAACAATCTGAAGAATTTAAATATAAATTTTACTCCATGTTAGACTAAAACATGTGAGAATTTAAATATTTCATACATTATAAAGCATTTTTATGATAAAGTACAAATGAAATCCATGTTATTTATTTTAAATTGAAATGTTTCATCTTCACTCTTGACCATCAGTCAAAGTAACTCTATTTCTCTATCTGTTGAAAATATCATTTTTCCAATAATGAAATTTTTATTTGGTTATATAAAGAAGAGTCCTTAAAATAATAACTGCATTATATTTTTATTCCTTTTATTCCTTCAGTTGGCATCATTGCATTTTTGTATGTAAAACAACCAGACTCCATTAGTGCCAAACTGCAAGTCATGATATGTCAGCCTTTAGTCCCTTTTATTTTTATAAAACTTAAAAAAAATTCCATAAGACTTAAAAAGTTTACAAGCATTTATTATACTCATTTTTCTGATTTACTGAAAAATAAAATGGTGCCTTTTAAAATCAACAACTTACAAACAGAAACATGCTAAATACTTGTTGCTTAGGTGAACCTGATGCAATGTGGAAAGTTCTTTTTCTTAAATTTATAATGAAAAATAACAGAATATAAGCCAGGAAGAATCTAAATCAAATATACTCTTCTTAAGAGAGAAAAAAACACAATTTAAAATTTTAGCTTAGCTTTTATTCAAAAATAGTTTCAATTTTCTTGCTCCACAGTATGACATAGTTTGAGTCTGTTAAGAATTTGTAGCAATCAAAATGGTGGCACTTTTACCAAATCTTTTTTACTTTTATGGCAATGCTATGTTTTGGATCTATTATTTATTATTTTTATTATTTATCAGCCATAGCTTACCAGCTATTTAGTGTTAGGAAGAATAATGTGTTTTAGCCTTAGTTTAGTCCAACCGAAGATGTAAAGAAAAGAAACAAGACCGATATATATATGTTAACAAATATATGTCTTAAACAACATATTTACAAGTGACAAAGACATCAACATTTGTGTTTATGTGTGAACGTAAAAAGCTTGTATTTTGGTGAATCTTCATACGCACATGTATGTGTGTTTCATGGCATTTTCCCACAAGTGGGCAAAAACGTTGATCTCTGTGAGAGATCACATTTTTAAATTCCACTGAAAGGCAAAGTAGAAAAGAGAACGAGGCAAGAAGTCACCCAGTATTTATAGTGCAGGGAGAGCAACCTCTAGTGAACAATTAGGGAATTAAGGAGGAGCTAACTCCGACAGGTCTTTAGATTTAAACATTGATTTAGGATTTAATAGATACCAAAAAAATTAATAACATTTTGTCATTTTTCTCTGGGGAGATTTAGCAAAAGCCAATTATTATACATTGATTCTGCAAAATAATTAATTTGTATTTTCACAAAACCTAAAAGCAAAGTTCATTTTCTGAAAAAAGAAGAAAAAGTTGCTTAAAAATATTCAAAATTCCATTAAACAAAAATATTTAATTTGTCCTGAAACATGATTAAAGACTTCTGTTTGGGGGGGGGTTGCATTTGATATATCACAATTGAGATATATTTATTTTTAAACTTGTATGCAATTTCTGGGAATTTATTTGTTAAGAAAGAGCCAAGACAAATGGAAATCTTCTTTCAAATAGAATTTCAGTAAGTAATTGCTAAAGTAAATAGTTTTGAAAATAAAGTATCTTTGTGATATATATATATATATATGATAAAAAATATAGTTTTATGGTATGCTATATTTATAGGTAAAAGTGCTCAATATCAGGGATAGTGCATGTTGTGTAAATATAAGAGTAGGCACTGAAGTCAACACCAAGTTTCATGCTTCGTCACAGTCTTCAAAAACAAACTTTCCCCACTCAGTATTGACCTCAGTATCCACTCATATATATATATATATATATATATATATATATATATTAGAATGGATTTTTTATTAATTCAACAGATTTTTAATCACTTTAAATGGTTTAAAAAATGGTTACTCATATTTGAGTAGGCATTCCCTTTATTTATTAAACACTATTTATTTTCATCTACCAGCATGAATCTTTGAAAAAAATTATTAAAGAAAGAAATTTGCACACTCTGCTGGGAATTGAACCTATGTTTTTAGATGAAAATAAATAAATATACTGTTTGATAAATAAACAGACCTCCTACTAAATATAAGTATCCACTAAAAATAACATTTAAGGTATATATATATATATATATATATATATATATATATATATATATATATATATATATGCATAATATATATATATACACTACAGTTTATATATTGCAAACAATTTGTCAAAAAAAGGCTAGACTTAAGAAATTTGTTATTGCAGAAAGTCAAATTTTCTTCAGCTTCATAAGTGTATTTTTATTGGCCATTTTATCATACAACTTTATTTGACTGTTTTCT